CGGGGTGATGACCCCACCTCCAAATCCTTGGAGAGGTGTTTTCACTGGCTTGAGTTGTTCTGATGAGATCCCCATTTGAACAAAAGCTTCATGAGACAGTACGTTTGTTGCACTCCCGTTATCTACCGGAATTCTCTTGACTTCAAAGTTGGCGACGATGGCCGATATGACAAGGGCATCATCATGGGGGAATGCTATGCCTTCCAAGTCATCCATTCCAAAAGTGATGTCCTCTGTACGACCAAGATCTGGTCTTGAGATGATTGGAGGCTGCCTGGCATACTGTTTTCGCCCGCTGCTATAATCTCCTCCCGAGGCTGTTCCTTCGACAATGATATTGATAGTGCCTGCAATTGGTTGCTTGTTTCCCCGATCTTCTAGGCCTTTGCCTCCGTTTTGATTATTCCTCGGGCGTTTGTCATTATTAATGTAAGAGCTCAGAAATTCCCTTCTTATAAGAGCTTCGATTTCCCGATTTAAGGCCAAACAGTCTTCCGTTGTATGGCCGTGATCTCTATAGAAATCATAGAATTTACTTTTGTCACGAGTATCGGGGGGAGACCGCAATCAGGGAGGCCACTTCAGTTCCCTAGAGTCCTTGATTTCCATCAGGATGTTGGACCTCGAAGTGTTCGGATGGGTAAAAGTCGTTGAAGGTGGATCCTTTCTTGGTTTGACCCTAGGTGTCTCTTGTCTTAAGCTGGACTCATGTGGACTTTTCAGATCCAACCTCCCTGATGGGGTAACTACCCTTTTTGGGGTCATGGTTTCTTCCATATTGATGTATTTCTTAGCCTGTGTGAGTAGCTCGGTGACTGACTTCGATGGGGTCTTAGACAAGGACATTTTGAATGTTTCGCACTTAATGGCATATGTCAGAGCTGAGACTGCAGCTGTGATATGTAGATCGGGGATCCGAAGCCTTTCTTTATTGAACCTGGTCATGAAACTGCGCAGTGTTTCTTTGGGTCCTTGACGCATTTGCATGAGTGATGCGGCTGTCTTTCTAATTCGTTTGCTGCTTGCAAAGAAAGCGAAGAACTTATCAGCCAAATCTGAGAAGGAAGTGATAGAGTTCAGTCCCAATGTGGAAAACCAATCTCTAGCTGCATTTGTGAGGGTTTGGGGGAATGCCTTGCACATTACCGCATCAGGCGCAACCTGTAAGTTCATGATATCCGTGTACACATTGAGATGATTGATGGGATCGGTTGTCCCGTCATACTCCTTTATCCGAGGATACTTGAACCTATTTGGAAGGGGATACAAGAGGACTTTTGGAGTGAATGGTGTATTGGGGGTGAACCCTGTTGCTACCCGAGTATTTTGTTGCATACCCGCTGCTATCTCTTCTTGAATAATTCTAGCAAGTTCGGCGGAGTTTATTGTAACGGACCTTGAACTTGATGCTACTTGTGGTACCCCTGAGGTTCCAACCCCACCATCATCATGGGCTGCATGATGGACTCAAGCCCGAGCATCTGTCATAAAGCCACCTTCAGGTGTTGGGGTATGTGACGGGTGCGAATTTCTCTGACTTAGCAATTGGGTCAATGCAACCACTTGTTGGCGAAGTTCCTCAAAAGCTCCGACAGAAACAATAGCTTGAGGAGGTGCTGACATCTCTGACAACTCTTCTTGAGGGATATGGTGTTCCTCAGGAGGTGGAAGGTTATCCGGGACGGATGAGCTTGCTGGAAGAAGACCTGAACGTGTATTGACCATGGCTTTTGGTAGCGAGATTCCCACAGACGACGCCAATGATGTTACCAAAAAAAAAATATCACCTGAAAGATCTCGAGCTTGATGGTCGAACTTCACTTTGATGAACATGAATGGTCTGTCAATACCTGCAATAAAGGCAACGAGGTGTGTGCTCGTTACCCCTCCGATGCTTAAGTCATGTAGGGAATTTAGTGCGTGAGGTTATAAACTAAAGATAATGAAAAACGTATCTCAAGAATGAGCACAGGTTGTGTATTTATAGATGTCAGCGGTGGAGTCCTAGAAGGACTTATTATGTCACGATCCTTATCTCAAGTATTCAAGTCACTGTTTGAGTCAAAGAAGGAGTCTAACAGGGTAGGGATTGTGGCCAGAGAAGGATTAGTGTCCCCATAGGTCTTATAGAAAAGCTGTCGAGTCAATATACATATCCCCGACCTCAGATGCCCGACCTTGTCTTGGTGTTTTTAGGGGGTATTGAGATCGGGGTTTATTATGTGAACGGGGTTATAAGGTCGAGTTCGTGATCGACAAGATCTGGGATCATCAGGTTCCATTCTCATGTTTAGATATCGGCAGGCAGCTGATTTTCGTAAATTTTTTTTTTTTTTTGAGTAAATACCAAAGCAAAGTGGAAATCTAGATTTCATGCAAGCATTAATTAAGATACATTTAATCTATTCTGCAATTTGAGTCATTTAGATTAAAATTCGAGACAAATGGACATAATTTGAACTGAGAGATGTAGAACATCATTTCTTGATTTTGAGTCAAGTATGAGTGCTTAAACTTTGTTAGTGTGACAAGCCGTTATTACCTAGTTCCTAGATGGTTCTTTACTTTATGCTGCTTTCACATTGGGTTCTTGGGGGATTGCTAGTTTGTTTAGTTCTAAGTTGGATTTTCAAGCATCTCGACTTTGAGAGTTCGAATAATGAGACAATATGGAACCAAATGACTTTCTTTATCTGTACAAGGGCATTTCATATCCTTTCGCAAGGTACATGGAAAAGAGCTATGCTACAATGACAAAGAGGGTTTACAAAGTTAGGTTACAAAATCAAATTTACATCAATCATTTCAAAAACAGATTTTTAAATCATTTGAAATCAAGGGTTCAGATTTTGCCAACACACTTTGGCACTTCACTTTTGTACACCAACTTTGTAGGAGTAGAATTATTCCATGGAAAATTTAATGATGTTTATACGATATTAAAGACTTGATTCAGGATGGATAAATTTGAAGTTTGGTTTTTTTCTATCTTCAGACCCACTTCTGCATAAAATTTGCAGGTGTAATATATTTCATCATTGATACACTGAATAAATTTAATGATATATTTAGGTTTTGGGAATATTTTCGTGTGAAGTTCCTCAAGTGAGTTATGTATTAGAAAAATTAAGAGAAAATGACACCGCAGGAACCATCGCCGTCACAGTCTGCTGCCAAAAATTTGCCAACATAATTGCCAATCAACTAAGCCATATCTTATCTTATGTGAATTAATGGAAGGTTGCAGATATGAAGATGGATGTGGTAGAAAATCATTAGCAATCTGTTGAAGTTCCATGGTGAATTTTCCATCGAGGTCCAAGTCTGTCATGAAGATGTCTCTTACCAGAAATTTCGAACGCATTTTACCATCAGTTCCTTGCGATGGTTGGGTTTCCTTGTTAAAAATTTTCCAATCAAACCATATCCTGCCTCCTGAACATGATTGCAAATTAAGGAATCATCAGCTGTTCTAATCGAAGAGGACCACAAAAGAGATTCTATTTCTATATCGTCCATTGTGCATATGTAAGACACGAGCATTCAAAACCCTAGAGAAACTTTAGGTAAACTGTCAGAGAATATAAATACTTTGTACTATACAACGTGCAATACATAAACTTTTTAGAATTAATTAGTTACATAAATTAATTCATAATCTAAGTAAAAGAATTCATAATTGAAAATGAATAGATTGGAACCAAAAAAAATTGAATTCTTTCATCATTATTGTCCTGACTTTGATGATCAATCTCTGTGAAGAAATGAGAAAGAGAGAAAAAGAATGAGAAAGACCAAACTCAAACGACATGTGATGCCTCAAGACCTTAATCTCGACTGGCAACTAGTACAAAAAATACTTGTTTAGTACATTAAACTCTACGTAACTTAACACAGGTACGGACAATTTATATACATCTCTTTTGTTCTTCTTCTCCAACTTACTAAAAAGATAGGGAAATTTTCATAACTATAATAATTCAAGAATACAATTTCAAAATTAGCTAAATTGTAGAAAAAAAAATTCAAAAATCAAGTGGAATGTGATTGTGACATGGTGGTACGTGATTTTCACTTGTTCTTATAGATGATTATGACCTATAAATTGTGTGATTGTGACTAAGTCTCTTTTCGGATTAGCTAAAAATTAAAAATTTACTGGCGAAAAAAATATAAGTTTACACGTATTTTTCTCTAAAAGATCATACCCTGAAATTATTCGAAGCCCAATCTCTGGTAAAGCAAACTGCAGTCCAGTAGCATAGGCCCATGTCCCTTTCTTCTCAGTCTGAAAAAATTCACAGGCGTGTGAAAAAGATGGGTCAAGAGGGTAGCCATTTTGTTTTATTTTCTAAAATTTGTATCTAGTTGAAATTCATTATTATTTTTAATACGTGAGTATAAAATAAAATAAGTGACTTATGACCAAATAATGTGTTATTTCGATTGTAATCAATCAAAAGGAATTAAATATAAGTAGTTGAGATTAAGCTTATTATAAGCATGCTTCTTAGCTTATTTCAGCACTCTTATACTTGTTGTGAAATAAGATTGTAAATAAGCAGCTTATAAGCTAAGCTAGCATGCTAGGACCAAAATTTCAAATTCGGACATTCAAATCGAAAAGACTAGAATTGAAAAGACTACAAATGAAGATATCATGCGTCTTGATTTTATATTTCTATTTAGTTTTACTTTAATCTCATGTGCTAAGCACGTTATACATTACATCTTGAAAATTCAAATTCTTACTCCTTTAAATAGAAGGGGGACCAAAAAAAAAAAAAAAGCGCCAGAGAATCATACGAGGACGGAAAGTTGTTGATCAACTTGCTCGTTTTCAAAAGTTTGAGATCAATTTGCATCAAGATCTATAAAATGAAGATAAATATTACATTTCTAAATTAAATCAAACCACCAAATTTGTTTAGCAATGGCCATAAAACTTACAAAGTTCTTTCAATTGAGTAATTGACCACACATATCTATCATCGGTTGATTTAACGGATTTGATAATGTGTCTCAAAATGAAACTACTATGGCCAACAGAAATGACAACCTTGTCTAAAATCAAACCAAAAGTATCATCCAAAATGAAGAAACTGATTGGTTAACCTAAATCGAGTGTGAAAGTGACACTCTTCTGAGGTTCATTAGTCTAGTTCTAAACATGAATGCTTGAGTGATCTACGTAGAATTAAAATTATTTTACATTAACTAAGCAACGCCAAACTCCGCCTCTTCCGTCGTCCCCTGGTTGATCTTCTGTTTAATCTTTCTACTACTTCGTGAAGAGTGAAAAAAAGGTCAAAAAAATCAAGCTTTTTGAAGCAAACACTTTTGTTAAATTAATTAGCGTAAAGCCTTGAAAGTCGCCATTCGCCATTTCCTCATTTCTCCATTTCTTGTCCTTTAGCTTCATCTCTCTCTCTCTCTCTCTTGAAACTAGTATCCATTTTCATCATCAAGAAAGATAAAACTACAATTCTATGAGAACATCATCTGGGTTTTTAACTATTTGTTCATTTTGATCTGCTGATGAAAAAGAAAGAGAGAAAATATTAGAGTTTTATGAAGTTTTGCTATATGGGGAGGGTTAGTAGTACTGTAAATACAGTTGAATCAGCATATTCAGTGCCAAGTATGGCACCAACAGTGAGTGGTAGTATGGAGAGTGAAAATCATTTGAGTAGCTTTTACAATTCTGTGAATGCGGTGTCGTTTGGGTTTGTTGCCACTGCCATTCTCATCTCTATGTTCCTTGTTATGGCCATTTTCGAGAGGTTTCTCCGCCCCAGGTCAACAGCTGCCGAGGGCGGCCACAGCCCTGCTGGGGTTGAGAATATGAGGTCACAAGGGAAGTTCAACTACCCTTCTCCGAAGGTACAATCGCTTTTTCCAAAAAATGTGCTTATAAGTATTTTCTCTCTTTTTTTTTTTTAGTTACTGGCATTGGTAAATATTTCACTGCATAAACACACAAAATTATGGGTTTTCAAGTTGGGCATCTTAACTTTATTCTGATAGCTATTTTTAATTTTCTCGTTTAATCACGCTTAAACATGCATAATTATGTTAATTATGATGTTTCTTGACATGATGTTAACCTATGAGAAGAGTCTTTTATTTAACTACCATAATTAAAAGCTTAAACTTTTAGAGAATTAATAAATTTATTTATCAATTTATCTTCAACATACACTTCACGTGCATATATGATTCATTTCATCTTGCCCCCCAAGGCATAGTCTAGTGGTGCAAAGGATAGGAGTGAGGTTATCTCACGCCTTGCTGGCAGCCACAGTGTGGGGGTTCGATTCCTGAAACATGGAATTAGATTCCTTGTAGACGCAGTGTACAAGCAGCTCTTGTTCCCTAACCTGCTGGGATACATCCCACGATTTACCTCCTTCACAATGCTCTAGGGGCGGGGTCGTGGGGCCCTCAAAATTAGGGTTCAACTTTTTTTTTTTTATATGATTCATTTTATCTTTAAAGGTCCAATATGCTGAATTCTCATATTCTCATAAATGACCAGTAGCGCGACTTTAATATCATGTTAAATCAAAATACTTAAGCAGTAAAATGTGAGAAGAATTTATAGGGTGTTTGGTAGGGATTAAAATTAGATTTTTTAATAGATTGTAGCAAAAGTTTTTGAAATGTGTGGTTGAAAAGTTGTGGAACCCAAAAAAGATATAGTTAATATTGATTGTTTGACCTAAAGTTAAAATCAGATTTTAATTCGAACCAAACAAGCTCTTAGTTAAACAGTAAAAAGTGAGAATAAATGTATTGTCTCTTCAACATCTCATAAGTCATGTCTCGAAGAGAAAAACCTTGAACTTTTGGCTCAAGTTCTACTTGGATGTAATCTTAGAAAAGAAGCATGTGAGGCATTTATCATTCAATACTACCCCATGATAGATGCATGAATTATATTAAAACTTTAGTTAATTATGACAACATTAAAGTTTCTAAAATATTTCTTCTTTTACCTAGAAAAATATTTTATAGCACAAAAACAATCCAATAAATGGTAGTCTATATATTCTATAGTAATATAGGCATTAGTGGACCAAATTCAAAGCCAATCATTTTCATCTTTACCATAATGTGATTCATTAGGTCAAAGTTTAAACTTCCATTAGATGAGGAAGTGACATTATGGCCCCATTTATTCCACACAATATGAGTATGGACATTTATTTATTTGCCTTTCTATTGGACTCCCCATGTTGGCTTGTCCCAGTTAGTGCAAATTAAATTATAACAAGTTTAAAACATAATATACAACGTTACATCATATTGAGAAGTCATTGGCAACTATGGTTGGTCCAAAACAATAGATTTCTATCAAGATCATGTTGCATCATACATTTAAAACTTTGTGAGTCGATTATAATCATGTCCTTAGAGCATTTTTAGCCGCCCTACAAAAATACTCTAATAATTTCAAGTTTTGTATCACCCATTTATGAAAATCGTGTATTCATGAGGGTTGTTCATCGCAATGCTTCTTCCTGGGCATAGTCATGAGGTTGCTTATGCATTTATCGTGCTAGTTGTTGCACAAAACCTTTTTTATTCATATTATCTTTGGAGTATGGTGGGGTGATTTGGAGTCCTCTTGTGTTTTGCATTGTCATAAGATGTCATTCAATATTTGAATATAAACTTACCACTTGTATGAGAAAATTGTACAACTTAAATGGAGATGGCCAAAATCTTTAGAACTATTTTAAATAGTCTTTCTATAATATTGGATATTGTACCCTTCTCTTCAACTTTGAGAACTTTTACATCAGAACCTATTTCGACGTCACTCAATTTTTGACGTCGACTAGGATTGTGGTGGTGTAAAGGGTCAACCGGAGTCGATGGCTGAGTTAGGCCAAAATAACATGAGATGATAGTGCCAGAATCAGAAACAAATAGATGAAGGTCTATTTTGATATATTTTTCCGTAATTTTGGTGTCTAATAGGGAACATCATAAACTCAAAATGGCCTGAAAGTTTCCAATATATTATGTTTAGTGGTGTTGCCTCCAGAATTTATACAGCCTTTCTTATGAATCTTCTTTTGCGACACCAGCAGGAGACATTAGTACAATGTACGTAGTCTCTGCTTTTCATGGTTTATTTGGGTTAGTGGAGGTGTCCCATATGTCTCAAGCATGTGATTTGATCTAAGATTTCCAACTTTAATTAGTTTCCGGCTTTAGTTTTTTGACCCATTCTTCGGTACTCAAACACTGTTGTTAGCCCTCGTTCCTCATCTTTTAAGGATCTGGATTTTTCAAGAAGATGGATGGTATATGCCTTGTTTAGTTAAAAATCAGATTTTTAGAATATTTTGATAAAAATTAATGTATTTTGTCATTGTCTGTCGCATGGAGTCCATAACCTTTGACGAAAGGGACGGACTTGCAAGATTTGCCTACCAAGTTTGCAGATAATTTGCATCTTCGTTAACCATAAGAAAGAAAAGTACCAATGGGATGTTTAATCTACTTTCTCTATGTTTGCAGATGACAGTTTATGCCAATGGGCTGTCAGTATTGATGCCAGGAGAAGAAATTCCAACTTTCATAGCTCATCCTGCTCCGGCAACATGTCCTTTAGAATAAGTCTTCTTTTCATGGCCATGACGCTTGTGAAGCGTAACACAAGAAGAATGTCATGAAACAAAAGTTGGAGAAAAATGATGGTTTTATGTATGGTTTTCAATGCACAAATTAGATGCAAGCTTATGCACAACTTGTAACGTAGTTTTTCATAGTAACCTAGACCATTTCTTGATTTGTGCGTGTCATTGTTGCACAAGCTATGGTAACAAAGGAAATCTAATTTTGCTAGAGATGAATAAAATTTGAAAGTAGCGATTTTTCTTTCATTTATCTGAGATTCCCATATTATCGAACAACAAGAATTTAAATTTTTCTCTAAAACTCTTCATTGTCAATTAGTTTTTGCAAAAATATACACAAGTTTTTGTTCATAAAGGGTGCAAACTTCAAAGGGGTGGACTTGAAAAAAAAGGTACAATAGCATCAAAGCAGGTTTTATTTTGCATATGAATCGTAACTATCTAGAAAATATGAGTTTGATGAGCAAATCAAGAAACTTTATATAAAATTCTTGATGTTCACCCCCTTAGATAAAGGGCAACGATTAACAAGACATAATATTTTTTAGAACTTTATATATCCAATTGGAACACGAATTCCAATACTTTTTTCCCTCTACACATCCCCAAACACACCAATCTCTAGGAATTGACCCCATTTTTATCAAGGCAAAGACCAAAAATTAAATACTCTCTCCGTTACTATCTCCTTATCTCAAATGGGAGTAGAATAGTGTAAAAGCTGTTCCAATGGTACCCTAAATATGGTGCAAAATATAATGTAATGAATAGTTGGTGTAACACTGTTCATTTACATTAAATATAAGAAATTTCAATTAACCCCATTTTGCTCTTTTTTACACTTTATAAAAAATTGTTTCTTACATATATGTCCTTATTTAATATTTTTTTAGTATTAATAAATTTTAATTGATCCATAATTATTTTAATATGTACACCATTGGAGATGATCTTACTCGGGATGAACATATGTCATGTCCAAACTATCAAATCAAATTGACCCGAGTTGTTTTGAATTGATTTGGAGGGATGTTGGTTTACTTTTCGTGTTGGCATGAGGCAATCCGAAAATCTCAAGTTGAGGTGTTGGTTTTAACGAAAAAAGGTCATAGGAAAAATATTTTAACTCGACAAATCGAATTAACCTAAACAAATTCAGATCGATTTGAGTTAGTTTATTCATCTTGTTGATTCAATTTCAAATTTTGATTTCATCCAAGATGAACTGTCGATTTAGTTATCAGTTTGTGTCCGATCTCGACCCATCCCACTCCTTACTCTCTACAATTCTTAAATATAATGTAATCATGTAATGTTCACACGACAAACTCGTAAAATGTTTGCCTCATAAATTTATAAGTAATTTGCAAGTACTTTGAGCACTTATTGTACAAGTCGATTTCGATTTGCATTAAAAATTCTTATCAAAGTAATTGTTACACGTTAAAAAATAATATTCATTTAAGTAATACATGATAATTCAATTCGATTTTACAATGTGATCTTTGCCAAAGGGTGGAAATGGCAATGTAGATGTAGTGACGAAAACAACCCCATTTTAAATATTTAATTAATTATAATTAAGGAAAAATCCTTGCAACGCTATAGAAAAATAAAGCACTCTAAGGAAACAATGGGGTTCTCCAGAGATTCGCCGTCTTCGGCTAAAACGTCGTCGTTGGAATTCTCTACTTTACCGCCGCCGCTCTCCGCCGTCTTCACCAGTGGCGCACCACCTGACTGACCAGTCTCGCTAGGCCCAGGACTTTTACTGCTCAAATTCCCACGCTGACCCACTTCGCTACTAGTCGCTGGCGACCTCGTCCTCCTGGCGGAGATATCCCCGGAGTCTGGACGGAGATCCTTCTCCGTTCCTGGATTCCGTTGCTGGGCCGTGGATAACCTCCCCTGAAAAGGACGAGACGCAGTCACCTGGCCCCGGCTCTGCTGCAACGTCGCCGTCCGTCCAGTCGGAGCTGATCTTTCCCTTCTAATTCTCCCGCCGGGAATGTCACCGGTGTTTTGCCGTCTTCTTGGGACTCTAAGAGGAATCCTCTGATTCACTTCTCCATCATCGTCGTCTCTATTCTCCATCCCCGTCGTTGAAAAGCTCTCAGTAAAACTACCCAAATCCGAAACTACAGATGCCTCTGAAACAATTTCTTCAGTGCACTTCGGCCTAATCACCTGCCGTGAATCAATCTTCAGTTCTTGCATTCTTTCATTCAATTTCTCGACTTTCTGACTAGAACCCTTTTCAACAGGTGTTTCTGAGAGCACTTCTTTTACAGTTTCTTCTTCCATCGGCAATGGCGGCACTCCTGTCCTTCCGCCCTTTGATTCAGCTACCGAACTGTGGTTCTCCATTTCCGGCTGAGATTTAGAGCTTTGACAGCAACCCATTTTCGGAATACGCAGAAAATGAACAATCTGTACAACTATACGTGCGTTTGCATCGATCTCTTTCGTTTAGTGGCTGAATTGATTCAAATTAGTAGAAAATGGTAGGGACTGGCAATGGCTTTGTGGGTACTGGGATACGTGCGTTTGCATCGATCTCTTTCGTTTAGTGGCTGAATTGATTCAAATTAGTAGAAAATGGTAGGGACTGGCAATGGCTTTGTGGGTACTGGGATACGTGCGTTTGCATCGATCTCTTTCGTTTAGTGGCTGAATTGATTCAAATTAGTAGAAAATGGTAGGGACTGGCAATGGCTTTGTGGGTACTGGGGTTACAATTGTTGATGTGAAAGAGTGTTGTGTTCCAAAAAGTGCATTAAGCTTGGGGCATCAGTGTCTTCCCGCGTGATCTGCTTCATTGTTGTTACTTTATTCCTATTGTATTGTTTTGTGTGTCCATTTCTTTTTTTATCTTTTAATTGATTGGTTCATGTTGTTCTGTTAACATTCATCAATCAAGTTTCAAACATTTGGTGGGGGTGGAGTGGGGTGGTTGGGATGACGAACCATTTAGCATCATGATATTATAATAACAGTTTAGATGACACTAAATTTTATTAAATCAGATGAACAATTAAATGAGCGACATCATCGGTGAGCAATTATGGAAGAGCAATAGTGCAATACCAATAACCTTGGAATTTAGGTTTGACTTGAGAGTTGTGGTGAACCCCACAAGCTCTAATACTAAGACAGTAAGTGACACGATCCATCCTGAATCTCCCTAATGGATTCGACACGTGTCGTGCGTCAATGAGAGATATCAACTAAATGTCGGACCCATCATCAAGGCAACTATGACTTGCTTTGATTATGACATAATTTTATAAAAATTTAACAAAGTTTCTTCTAAACTATGAACTAAAATCACCTAAAAATTTATGAACTTTCTCAAACCAATACATATAATTTAAAATAGGATACATCAGCCCTTCCAAACACAACTATTCAAAATAAAGTGCGGTGAAATGAAATTTACACTTCTTAACAAACCAGAGGACTCTAAATGACTTATACAAAATTATGTAGTGAGCCAATGATATAAACTGACAAAACATGCATCCACCCCAAAAATTATGAACTGTATAAACTGACAAAAAGAAACATACAAATAACAACTGAGTGGCTCAATTTGGTAATTCAACAGGCTCCGATGCGGCTCAACACAGCTACTGTCTAATAAGAAAAAAGGGAGATGAAATATATGAGCTTGTAACTCAGTGAGTGGATAATTTTGTAAATAAATAAGTTTTTTCCATTTATGCTAACTTTCTAAAAACTGGTTTATAATACAAATATCATTACACGGTACTTTAAGTTAAAATCTTTATTCTTTAAATTGAATAAGCTAAATTCTGTATTCTGAAATCTGATAAGCTGTATAATACTGAAAAATCACACCAAAAAGGTACCCGAAATAACTATACTCATGTATCGATTAGCATCGATAGACATGGCAAAGCTATCCAATTCTGAAATTCTAGTCATACGCGAGCAGAGCTATCTGGTATACACTATGGAAACGCATTCACAATAGTGTAGAGCGGGTAAAATCACCATAACTAATCATACACTGTGAAAACACATTCACACAAGTATAGAGCGGGTAAATCACTTGGGTACTTTCTAGTAGTTTTTAGAAATTATTTTTAAATATGCTGATCTATTTAATACTAAAATAATATGCCAATAAAATGATTTAACTAGACTGGATTTTTAACTTTAAAAGCAACTGTTTATAAATCAATTTTATTCTGAAAATCGTGCTGTCAAATCAACTGTACGAATTAATAAATTTTCTGATTTGATATAAATTTTATAAATATTAATTTCTAAAAAATAAGTTTATATCCACTTACTCAATACGAGCTACAGATTAGGCCGATCGGTAAGCTTTTCTAGTTTCTTCGTCACCACCTGAAATACGTTACAAAACAATAATTTAACCACTATTAAAATCAAGAAACATTTTATCTCTAATGATATAATAATTAAACTAAATTTCTCGAGACTTGCGAAATTTTCCCAAATTTCCTTTAATCAATTTGTAATAATTTTTACTTTCTAATATCTACACAATTACGTCACATATCCAAATTTACCTTCATCCCAAACATAAAAACAATTTCTTCTTCTATTCTTGTGAAATTTGAATTCTAACTTGCACCAATTTAATTTACATTTTGTTCATGATATTATTCCTTTCAAGTATACATTTCA